TTAGTCTTGATCTACCTCACAGGACTGTTGTGAGGATAAAGGGTGAGTTTTGTGCTCATTGGAGGAAAGAAGGTAGTAGTGTAACTAACAAGGAGTATTCCTTGGCTAAAGTGGAAGGAGAAACATTTCAGGAGAATAGCAGCTTTTTTTGTGCAACTCCACACGCCTTTGTAGCACTTTCGTTCTCTTCCCAAGGAGAGGCAGTAGTCAAAGCGTGCCTTTTGCTGAATAGATTATTCCTGTTCAGCAAAAGGCATGCTTTGATGACCAATTCCCCTCGGAAGGGAATGAAAGTGCTACAAGTGCATGTGGAGTGGCACAGAGAAAACTGCTACTGTTTCATCTTTCTTTTCTTGTGTGGTAAAAAATAACTAAAATTTCAAGTTATTAAAGGGATTGGCATGGCTCTTTAGTAATGTTTACACAGATAGTTCAGGAGGGAGCTAGTCCCCTTTTCAAACTAAAACTCCTGCTTGCTCTTCACTTTTAATATCTTTCTCATCAAGAAACACTATGAGAACTGCTAGTATTTACATTGATCTGTCTGCATTCTGCTTTTCCTCAATTTTGCTTCTTTCTGCAGTCCTCAGGCCCCAGCTGAAAAAAAATACTGTGCGGTGTGTCAGGCCCATTACATTGAAGACACTGTGGCTCTCCATGAACGCTCCACTGCCCATCTTTTCAATCGGCGTGATCCACTACCCCCCACACGCTACCACATCCCTGAGAACAATGTAGGTTACCAGCTGATGGTCAAAGGAGGTTGGGATCGGGAAGCTGGTTTGGGGCCTGAGGGTGCTGGCCGCAAATTCCCCATCCAGACTTTGCTCAAGCGTGACCAGAAAGGCCTGGGCTTCTGCAGCAATCTCAAGCCCAAGGTGACCCACTTTGATGCCAATGACCCCAGTGCTGTGGAAGCCAAGAAGGAAAGGCCCAGGAAGGAACGGGCAGCAACTGTGGGGAAACGAGAGTCCCGGCGCCGAGAGGCAAAGGCTGCAGCATGGGAACGCAACCTCCGCACTTACATGAACCTTGACTTGTGAACTCTCCTTTGATAGTGAATTAGTAGATTGGATACATGATGGCAAATTCCTTGTTTGGTGTAATTGGCAAAGGAATCTGAAATAAATCTGCCACTATCATAGCTATGTTTATGCAAACGTATAATTCAATCCTATTTGGAATACTGTATGTTTTTAGTCACTGCCCCTAGAAAAGGATATTACCATATATACTCGACTATAAGTCGATCTCCTGTATAAGTCAAGGGCAAATTTTGGGCCCAAAATTATGGATTTTGATATGACTTGTGGATAAGTCAGGGGTAAAACTTAGTGACATGTAGCAAAGGATCTAAAGGATGAAGCAAAGGAAACCAATGCCAAGGAACTTACAGAATTCCTGCAGACATAACTGTTTGTGTTCACACTAAAGGTGATATGATAGCCTTGTTTAAATATTTAAAGGGATGTCATATTGAGGAGGGAACAAGTTTGTTTTCTGCCGCCCCAGAAACTAGGACCCGGAACAATGGGTGCAAGCTCCAGGAAAAGAGATTCCACCTCAACATTAGGAGGAACTTCCTGACAGTAAGGGCTGTTCGACTGTGGAACACACTCCCTCGGAGTGTGGTGGAGTCTCCTTCCTTGGAGGTCTTTAAGCAGAGGCTGGATGGCCATCTGTCGGGGATGGTTTGA